CTGATATTTTAGCTGCAGTTACGAAGCAACCTAGGTCGTTTATACGAGCTAATCGATCCTTCGAGATGCTTGGAAATTCTATTCAGATCTAATATACTGCTTTTCGTACTTGTTATATAATATAAATGCGTCGTGTATGAGAGAGATTTGAGGTTGTTGTAAACTTGTTTGCCTTGATCTCTCATAAATTTTTGACAATCATCGTTGTTAATGGAATGGTATCTACTGCTAGTTTGTACTAAAATGTTTCATTAGAACAAACACATTGCACATTTCCATTTGAAATTTAGGATGAACGGATTTGAAATCATTTCTGACTCAAACATAAGACTTGAAATCCAAACTAATATGGGAAAAATAAAATCGAAAAGCAAGTCAGAGATGACATGACATTTCAAGTCACTGTAAGTATATATTATATTTTTTGGACTTTTCCTTTCGAGTTTTTTCTTTAATTTTTTAAAATGTATCTTAGAGATTACCATTTTACTATTATGATCTTTGAATCTCACTTTTACAAAGTTGATCATGCTTGCTTTGGTTTGGTTACAAACGGTATTAGAGCTAGACATTGAGTGGTGTGCCAGTAAGGATGAGCGGTGTGCCAATAAGGATGTTTAGTCTTGAATGGGGTAAACACTGAGCGATGTGCCAGTAAGGATGTTTAGTCTTGAATGGGGGTGAACACTAAGCGATGTGCCAGTGAGAGTGTTGGCCCCGTAGAGAGGTGGATTGTGAGATTCCAGACTGGAGAGAGGAACGAGTGCCAACGAGAGACACTAGGCCCCAAAGGGGGTGAACTGTGAGATCCCACACATCAATTTGTAGAGGGGATGCAGAAACATTTACCTAGTAGACGCGTTTTAAAAACCTTGAGTGGAAGCCGAAATGGAAAGCCCAAAAGAGAAAACCCAGAAAGGGAAAGCCCAAAAAAGAAAACCCGGAGATCCCACACATCAGTTTGTAGAGGTGATGTAGAAACATTTACCTAGTAAACGCATTTTAAAAACCTTGAGTGGAAGCGGAAAGGAAAAGCTCAAAAGAGAAAACCCAAAAAGGGAAAGCCCAAAAATGAAAACCCAGAGAGGGAAAGCCCAAAAGAGAAAGCCCAAAGATGACAATTTGGTAGCCTCTCCCTAGCAAACGCGTTTTAAAAACCTTGAGTTGAAGCTGGAAAGGGAAAGCCCAAATATACAATATTTGGTAGCGGTAGGCCTTAGGCTGTTACAATAAATTTCAATGTGCTTGGTTTGCTCACAAAAAGACTATACGGAAAACGAAAGCCCAAAAGAGAAATTTCAAAGAGAACAATATCTGTGCTTCGTTTGCTCACAAAAAAAACTATATTGAAAACGAAAGCCCAAAAGAGAAAGCCCAAAGAGAACAATATCTGGTAGTGACGTCTTGGGCTGTTACAATAAATTTCAATGTGCTTGGTTTGCTCATAAAAAACTATACGCATATATTTAATTTAGCATTAGTGTAGCACACAAATCTAAAGTTGTGTCTAAAGATAATGTGAAAGAAAATAAGAGACTCGAAATTGGAGTATTTCAAAGACACCTAACTATATGAAAAGTAAAAACCCAATGAACTATTGTAAGAACCGAATTGATGAACCAAATTGATTAAATACACAATAGTTAGACGAGTCACAGTAAGATCAATCAAGCTTCCAACAATAGTATGATATAAACTAGGATACGACAAAGTCCATATGACGGAGAGTTTTGAACATTGATCTCAAGATAAGTATCGATAATCTTGCTGTCATTGAGACGTGTACGACTAAACAAATCAACTATATACGACCTGCACTCATATGCTTGATAAACATGTAGAATACTCTTCTTTCGACCTACACAAACACCTTCTACCTCCACTAATGAGAGATCCATAACTTGACCGCATACTTAAACCCGTAACAACATCACTTGTAACTTCCAAAAAGTTCGAGTTGGAACACATTAAGGATACTTTATAGCTGCATACAAAACGAGGTAAAGGAAACGTGGCAACATCCAAGCCTACAAGTACTTGTAGTTGGATATGTAAATCAACGACTCTCAACTAGCTAACACCGTTTTTAGTTTTGATCCATTGCAGTATACAAGAGAAGAAACAACAATCATATGAATTCCAACTCCACCGAAGAACACAAAAATTTTCAACAAACAATTCGATTAAGACAAAATATAGGAATTCGATTAAGACAAAATATAGGAAACAACTTCACGTGTTTACAAGAGAAAGTTTGACTTTCAACTTTTTGTATAGCTTAGATCTCTATTGCAAAAATCATGTGTTGCTTTGGCCGAGTGGTTAAGGTGTGTGCTCTATTGCAAAAATCATGTGTTGCTTTGGCCGAGTGGTTAAGGTGTGTGCCTGCTAAGTACATGAGGTTTCCCTCTAAGAGTTTGAATCTCCCACGCAATGATTTCTAGTTTTTTTTTTTTTTTTTTTTTTTTTTTTTTTTTTTTTTTTTTTTTTTTTTTTTTTTTTTTTT